CCCATAGCAATAGAATTTGTTAACAGTACAATATGTAATAAGGCTAAAAGGCAATGAACAAAAGGTTTTGTTTTCCCATAGTAATTTCCATATAAACTTGAAATGGTTTGTGCCAAGTCAGTTTCTAATCAAATGAGTTTAAACTTTCGGAGGCTAATCAGGACCCGATTTGAAACCGTTTGAACACCGTGGAGCGAAAATTTCAAATTTTGCATCAGCCTAATCCTAAAGACCCAAGCGCAATGACAGCGGAAGCGGAACGGCAGCGGCAGCGGAAAAGCCCGATCTAAGTAAACCTACTTGTCGGATTGAAAACTATTTAAAACCAAATCGACATCGGTTAGGCTTCTTGATGTCATTTGTGACAACTGTCAAACTTTCCGTTTCCGTTCCGCTTCCGTCCGCATTGCGTTTGGGCCTTAACATTATGGATTATTTTATTCTCTTTAATAAAAACAAACTGTCTGTTTCATCGTGCTCAACAAAATGATTTCAAGCTGTCCATCAGTTTCTTCTTCTAAGAAAAAAAGTATCTCGGCCCATCTCCATGATCGTCCAGATTGTTTGTGCTGCGTATCGAATATTTAAAAAAAATCTGATGTGGTGTATTTAGAATAATTGAATAATTTAAAAAAAAAATATTCTTATTAAATTATACTACTATGAATACAGTAAAGATTGTATCTACAGGGTGCGTGATGAATTTTTGCAGTAAATGGCATATTTGAGAAAAAATACACCAGTTAGTTATTCTTGCAATGAATTTTGTGCGATTTATTTTCTTTCGCAACATATGGAAGTTGTAAGTAAATTTATTCAAAAAAATTGCCTTCCCTTTCGACGACTGTAGTTAGACGCTTCCGGAAACTGCAGTATGCACGTTTTAAAATGTTTCGATCCATAGATGTCATCACTGCCTTGATTTTAGCTTTTAGCGACTTAAGTGTGGTGTGAGGGGTTCTATTGGTATCCCGTTGGACGACGCCCTATACAAAATAATCCAACGGATTGATATCGGGACTGCTTGGGGGCCAAATTTCTTCCTCCCAAATTTTCAAAATATTTTCCGTAAGCCATTTCTGTGCTTTATTAGCAGTATGAGCAGGTGTTCCGTCTTATCACTTTCCCAAACCTTTTTTTATACACTGTTCTTTCAGACACATTTATCGACCGAATTATTTCTTTCATGCATACTCCGGCGCGCAACAAAGCGACAACGGCTGACAGATTGCTCTCTTGTTTCGACATCTTTACGTTTACTCAACATTGTTTGTTTAAATCTTACACCTAACAGTATAAGCTATCCAGTGCTGCCAAATATATCTAAATCATGATGCACAAGCATGAGAAATTACTATTTGAAATTTACTGCAAAAATTCGTCACGCACCCTGTACATAGGGGAAATGGCTCTAATGTTGGCTTATGGATCTAATATTGGGCCCATCGCTAAAAATCTATTTATCAATTGTATCTAGATGAACGCGTCATTGGGACCAGGCTTCCAAAAAGTACAGCCTCCTCGCGACAGTTGGTTTATACCTGAATTGACTGTTGCTTTGTATGGTTTACTACCGCTTGCTACCGTACGTTCAGATCTGAATTCGAAGTGTATTGGCAACAGCGCACGCACCAACGAATGAAAGCTGTATTAGAACAGTCGCATCTATACCCGCTTTGCTAAAATCATCGTGCTTGGAACGTAGTGAACCGCATGGGCTGTATTTATGCATTTCTTTATGACCAGGTTCTCAATGTTTCTGTCGTCATAACAGCCTTCACAAACCGACGACATCCCTCAGCTTACCCAAGTGGATGTCACGAAAAGGCTGTCACGAGACATTATATACAATTGATATACGGTAGTAGAGTATGGAAGAAACCCATAAGAATGATCCCGAACAGATATGTCGGCCCGATGTCGGATCAATGTAAGGTCAATTTACGGTCGACGTCGGCCAAATGTCGGGTCGATGTCGGGTCAATTATGTGTTTATGTCGGGTCAATGTTGGGCCAACATCGGGTTGGGGTTTGGTAGAAGTCAGGTTGGTGTCGGGTAGGCTTATATTTTTCGCCGGAGACCGTGCGTTTTAAAAAAATATTGGATGAAAATTTTGCAATGGGCAGTACGAACGTGATAGCAACCGAACGAGCTCCGGCGCCACACTGGTAGTGTAGTAGCAGTTTTACGACATACAAACAAAATTTCAAAGACAGCAGCAACGAATCGGCAGTTTGAAGGACTGCTTGTTGTATGTACGAGGAACGTTACGAATGACCATCCGAGGCTGTCATAGCCAAATGAACAAAATACATGACTAAGAACGAGCTGTCGTGTACTGCACAAGACGGCAACGTTGCATGTCGTATAACAGCCTCACTGTGGGCTGTCGCTTATAGCTCAATCTCAAGGCTGTCGTAGGAAAAAGAAAGCGACAGCCGTTGGAATACTGTCATGAGGCGGTACTTTTGGTATGCCTGATTGGGACGGTACTAATGGATATTTTTGGTTGCTATTGAAAATTTAGTCGATGGCTGAATTTTTGTATGGGCCCAAATTAGCGACACTTTGGCCGACATTACATACATTTCCCCTATTAAGGAAATATTAGTATAAACAGTGTCAAAATATTGATACTAGAATCCTCCAATGAATGTCACCGACCAAATCACGTAACTTCTATGTGATAATCCTGTGACGGTGAAATGAGTACCCCTACCGAGGGGGACGACTCTATCTACCAAGCAAAAAAGATTGTGTTTTGCTGTGGCTAGCTGCACGCACGCTGAGTAGATAGAAGGAAGATTTATGTCGATTTTGAAGATTTCCTGCAAAAAGATGAAGCGCGATGCAAGTAGATGCGAGAAATGAAAGATGATTTTTCGAAGATTGATTCGCTAGTGTGAGATTTTTTGAGCATCTAGAATTGAGATTTAGATGTGTCGCCCCCCTCGACCCCTACATAAGAATCACGTAGCTTTTATGTGAAAAGTACGATGGAAAAAATCTACGTATGTTTTCACGTAGCATTTACGTGAAAATTATTCTGAGTGTATACCTAATCTATGAGTAGTCCTGTGGAAGTATAACATTTGTTTTAGTGTTAAAGGTCTTGGAAGTGATTGATTGAAATGTTTGAGTAATAATTTTACATAAATTTGGATTCCTGCAGAATAAACAAGGTGAATACAATTGCGTCCGATTTTTAACACAATATTTGATGAATTCCTATAGCCAACAATTGCTGACTGATGCTTCAACGAGCTTTAGCAACTCTCTTTATTCAAATCAGGTATAATATCTTAAACACCAAGGGCGCAGCCAGGTTTCGAGCTAGGGAGGGGCGAAAAAAAATTACTATGGTAAATTTGGCCGAATGCCATTTTACCGAAAGCCTTTGTGTTGCTGCCCCGCTCTGGCTACGCCTATGTTAAACACATATCTATCTATTTCATTTGACACTTGACACTTATGAATAATCAGCCATAGACCTTTTTGGCGTTTAATCATCTTTCTCTATCTAGCACACATGGATGAATGGACGGTTTATTTTCCCACTAATCTGTTTCCGTCTTGTTCGCACTCGTTCGCTTTAAATGGTACTGTAGTGTGCGCCGATTTAACTACAAAAAGCTCTATAGAAATTTGCCAAAAGGTTTCTATCCGTGTGGGTAGGTATTTAAGCTGCTACGCGTACGGACGGTGTGCGAGGAGAAAGAACAATTTGATTTTTTTTAAAGAAGAGCGCTAGACTGGTCATCAGTTTTTTGGGTATATCTCATAAACGGTATTATTTACCATCTTGAAAGGTTCACCGAAAAAAAGTTTATAAATTTCCAAACATGATTTTTTTTTGATAAAAATCCATGATACAGACGATAGTTTCCACAGCCTTTCTTTTGGATTTTCTTTAATGCTGAAAACTTTCATGAGAAATTTGTTTCCAACCGTATTTTTTATCAATAGCTGACACAATTACAAGTAATTTTTGTTAATTGACTTTGACTGTGCAATGCTTGGTTCAAATGAGTGATTTTTTTGAAGTTGGTGGTGTCCGAGAAAATCAGAAAACTTTAACTAAGGTTTCCGGAAAAATGGGGAACCCTCATTTTTTTTTAAATTTTCTTTTGTTAATATATCCATGAACTCTACCTATGGGTGAAGTTTCTTAGAAATCGAATACCCTTCGGCCCAAACCTGTTTAATAATTAACAAAAACCCCAGTCACCAACTGCTGGTGGGTGTCGAATGTCGTCTAGTTTCAAACATTCGAATTAAACCTTTTGAAATTTTGATTAAATTGTTCATCAATAATAATCTCGCAGTCATACGTAAATTATGCGTTCGTTTAAACAAGGTTGAACATGTTTTGAAACTATTTTTTAATTCAATGGACTTTAAAATGGAGGTCAAAGTTTTACCGAACGTTCAACTGTTCTGATTTCGGTAAAATTTACCGAACACAAAAACAATGTTATGTCGTTTTCGTTTTTGCGGTGTAGCACTGGTGTAGTGTATACATGTGTAGCGAGTCTTTGACAGCTCTACATCATTTATTTGTAAACAAAGGTGCATCCTATATTGCTGATTGCATCTGAAACTGTACTGTCCCAAAAATGCAAAAAGTGTGATAAAAGTGCACGTTTCCGTCAAATCGTTTTGATGTCTTCGAAGCACTTATTGCTTGCATTATAAGGAATAAGTGCACCCAAGACACAAAGACGATTAGACGTAAACTTGCAGTTTTATCACACTTTTTAATGAGTGAAAACGCGCTAATTAGTCCAATTTGGTGTGAAACGCGCAATATCTACACCCTAAAATATTTCGGTGTACGGTAGTGTAGCACCGGTGTAGAGACACCGCAAAAACGAAAACGACATTAGTGTATACATCCCTATCTTCTTGTTTTGACATTTTGTTCATGTGCCACGATCGTAAGTTCAATGCGATTGATATCACTGCCGGGAGATCACTGAAATATTTGGAGATAATTTACCTTTTTTGTTACTGAACCATTTTGGTTAATTATTTCCAGTGCCTTGTTTCGATATTTTGGGACTGTCATGAAGTATTTGATAGCTTCTTCATATCGTTGTTTACGCGAGAAGTATTGCACTATGGAGATAATGCTAATGGTAGCTAATACGACTAGCCTCACATCAACTTTAGTACGGCGTCGATAGTATCGATAGAAATGCGAGTAGTATTCGTCGGGATTGTCCAGCATATAATTGTAATCCGTTCTACTATCGTCATCTCGTAGAATTTCGTATGCTCTTGCGATACGTTTGAACACCTCTTCGGCATCCTGCTTTGCCTTTTTACCTTTGTGCAAATCAGGATGAAACTTTTTGGCTAGCTGTCGATAATTACGACCAATAACCTGCTTAGTTGTATCTCGCGTTACACCAAGCAGATCATAACAATTCTCTTTTCCACAATATAGTCCTTCGAGTAAATGTGCTTGAGAACCGATAAAAAACGGACTCAGTAGTAAAAAATAATATAGCCACATTTCTACAAGATTACTAACTAAGAACAAATTTTAACTACTGGCGATTGCTGATGACGTTGTGATACTCGAGAAATCAGCGTTGACGTATCCACACGGTTAGAAAAAAGTACCCAAAATTAAGTTATTTTCAATCATCTCAGACGCCGATATCTATCACGGCGAATGAGAACGACCCAAATTTGAGTTTAGTTATCTCAGAAATAAGAAATAAAGTGCAGGAACTCAGCGATGAGTAAATTTGCCTCATGTTTTCCCAGGATTTTCCAGGGAAAAACTCCCGAATTTGAGAAAAGTAAAGATTGGATTCACTCAGTCTATTCGCACTACTCCGAGACTGAATAAAATTTTCATCAATCTCCTCATTTTCTGGCAGATTTTTTAGGTTTTCCACACGAAATTATGAGACAAATTTACTCATCGCTGAAGTTCCTACACTTTTGGCGATTATGAGTGAACTAAACTCAAATTTGGGTCGTTCTCATTCGCCGTGTACGCAAAAAGAAAATAGCCAGTGTCGCTACTTGATAGCAAACTACTCATAATAGGAGGAGTCTTTGTAGCTTTTATACAGCTGGGTGGCATGCCGCCATGTTATTGAAACCAACCTCTGAAACGTCACAATTCCAGTGTGAACTGCAAAAATAGCGTGACTGAATTGTCTTATTTTTATCAAATGAAATTATTTTCCCTTTTATGCCATATAAATGGTTGACTTCCTGGTAGAAAATCAGAAAATAATACTTTGACTATATGTTTTAGTATTACTTCTACGTGAAGTCAACGATTTACATAGTTGAAGATGCTAATTTCAAATAACAGACTGTAGTGGTAATTTTTATACGATAGATGGAGTAGATGAAAGCATAGAGTTGATAGTTCCGTTAGAGTACGGCAGTGTGAAGATTGCATATAGATATTAGAATAGCGAGCTAGAACAACTTTTAAGGAAGGTACAAATCGGTTTTTTCATCTCTCTTTACCAAACTCCCCCTTTGGAGAGGGATGGTGAGGGGTGGCTCTTTTCGTGCACCATCAATGTAGAGTGCGCTAGCCGATTTTGAGAGAAAATGTCATCCAACCCATTTGTTTACACCATAATGACGATGTTCAAAACTCAAAATAATGTACATTTTAATGCACAACTTGCAAATTTCTATCAGGAGTGGTCTTATTTTTCGATTATCTACAGATCTGAACTGGTTTATAGCTGAAAAAACCACACATTAAAAATCCGGAAGGTCATAACCGCTGCGATAATTTAATAAATCTTAATGTTTCGCTTCAAAAATATATGGAAGCACCAGCCGGATCACTGCAAACCAGAAACAGAAAACAAAATATTCCACGTGGATGATGATTTCAAGCACCTGCGGTGGATAAATTAATCAGGAAAGGTGAAAATATGTTCCCCTTCCTATGCTTCACGGTAAAAATTTCCACCCTCATCACTATTTTGAGGGTTCCTCTATTTACCGCCAGAGGCTGAATCAATCGCTTAGTCTCTATTGGCAAATCAAAGTTGGCACGCGTGGAGAATAGAAGAACTATGAAAGTGATGATGGTTTCAAAATTTTCCACGGGGAAGTATACAAATGCAATCTTAAAATGCTTTTATTTTGCAAATGAAGCATTTTATTTAATTCTGGTTGCTGCTACAGTTGTAGAAAAGCTGAAATCTATGTCTACACCTAAAAATCTGAAAAGAAATTATTTTTTCTATATTATGTGTCTATAGGCTCTTTTCGTGCACCATCAATGTAGAGTGCGCTAGCCGATTTTGAGAGGAAATGTCATCCAACCCATTTGTTTACACCATAATGACGATATTCAAAACTCAAAATAATGTACATTTTAATGCACAACTTGCAAATTTCTATCAGGAGTGGTCTTATTTTTCGATTATCTACAGATCTGAACTGGTTTATAGCTGAAAAAACCACACATTAAAAATCCGGAAGATCATAACCGCTGCGATAATTTTATGAATCTTAATTTTTCGCTTCAAAAATATATGGAAGCACCAGCCGGATCACTGCAAACCAGAAACAGAAAACAAAATATTCCACGTGGATGATGATTTCAAGCACCTGCGGTGGATAAATTAATCAGGAAAGGTGAAAATATGTTCCCCTTCCTATGCTTCACGGTAAAAATTTCCACCCTCATCACTATTTTGAGGGTTCCTCTATTCACCGCCAGAGGCTGAATCAATCGCTTAGTTTCTATTGGATTCGCCTATTAAATAGTCCTTAAATTTTCTACTAGCGTAACATTAACCAGATTTAAATAAAATGCTCCATTTGCAAAATAAAGGCATTTTAAGATTGAACTCGTATACCTCACCGTGTAAAATTTTGAAACCATCATCACTTTCATAGTTCATCTATTCTCCACGAGTGCCAACTTTGATTTGCCAATTGGATTCGCCTATTGGCAAATCAAAGTTGGCGCTCGTGGAGAATAGAAGAACTATAAAAGTGATGATGGTTTCAAAATTTTCCACGGGGAAGTATACGAGTGCAATCTTAAAATGCTTTTATTTTGCAAATGGAACATTTTATTTAAATCTGGTTGCTGCTAGAAAAGCTCAAATCTATGTGTACACCTAAAAATCTGAAAAGAAATGAATTTTTGTATATTATTTGTCTATTGAGTAGTCCTTAAGTTTTCTACTAACATAGCACCAACCAGATTTAAATAAAATGCTCCATTTGCAAAATAAAAGCATTTTAAGATTGCACTCGTATACTTCCCCGTGGAAAATTTTGAAACCATCATCACTTTTATAGTTCTTCTATTCTCCACGAGTACCAACTTTGATTTGCCAATCTATTCCCGCATAAACGCGAACCATCACATGACCTTACCGATAATGGTTATAAATTGTTTATAATCCCTGCTTCAACTTCAACTGAAATGGTTATGGAACTTTACATGAACGTTTGTGTGATAAAGTTTTAACCTTATGTATTATGGTTTTTTGGAAGCGGACATTACAAATAATGGGTTGTTAAGAACCATTACCATTCCAAATTCTTGTTTTCTCCATACATTTTCGGAAAGAGAACTATATTAGAACGTTTTTACTTATGGTTTGAGAACATTAATGGTTATGGTTATGGTAGTCAGTAAGGTCCATTAATGGTTTTGTATTATCACTCAACTTTACGTGAAATATATCGTGAATTGGTAATCAGTAATTTACAGGCAACCAATTCGCGATATATTCCACATAGAGTTGATCGATGTTACAAAACCATTCATGGACCTTACTGGTTACCATAACCATTACCATTAATGTTCTCAAACCATAAGTTAAAAGGTTTTAGTATAGTTTTCTTTCCGAAAATGTATGGAGAAAACAAGAATTTTGAATGGTAATGGTTCTTAACAACCCATTATTTGTAAGGTCCACTTCCAAAAAACTATTATACTTAAGGTTAAAACTTTATCATTAAACGTTCATGTAAAGTTCCATAACCATTTCAGTTGAAGTTTAGCAGGGATTATAAACAATTTTAACCATTTTAGGTAAGGTTTATGTTATGGTTCGCGCTTATGCGGGTTTCCAATCAATTCAATATATTTTTTCTTTATCCTTTCCTTTCACCTGACAGTTCACCCCAGCATAACCAAGGGGGGGAGGTGGCTGTCAAATACGAACAATCGTCGCCTACCTCGCATAACTGGTTCAAAACGTAAACAAGCCATAAGAAACCTACAGCGTTTGTTTACGTTTGGAACCAGTTTCATACAAGAATGATCAGTAGGCTGATTTGACAGCACGTCCCCCCCAGAATAAAACGAGAAAATACCGAAACGTCTGTAATTTTTAGCATTATCGATCTAAGACGGTATTTTTTTACCGAACTCAGGGTCTCTGTTTAAGTGTGTATGATCGCATCGCCCGCTTAAGCGAACCCTGAACCATCTCCTACCAAACTATCCAACTCAGTAGCATCTATGAGGGCGTCAGTGGGTCGCTGGCCTCCCGTTAAGTAGATGTTACATCAACAACATCCTTCCTTTCCCCGTAACGGAGAAGATGGGCGTGGCTGGCAATGGTAATTGTCATGCTTTTCCTGTTCTGAACTTTGATTGGAGAACTATTCACTCCCAAATAGTTTTCCTTAAGCAATCAGAATAAGAACGTTAAAGTTGATACATGACAGTTGCCAGCAGTAGGCTGATTTGACAGCACGTCCCCCCCCCCCCGCAGAGCATAACAGATATGCTCGATCGCACATTCGTAAAGGGCGTAACCGGGACTCACTTGGTAGCTGGCGGCGACTGCCCAGTGGGTTCGCCAACAAAGTGAATAAGTAGGGTATAGGAACCAAAACGGTAAGAATTTGTACTACTTAGTCTACGTCGGTTGACGGAATAAATAAATTTCTTCTTAAATCAAGCTGAACATTGCATTAGATCCTAAGTAACATTGATCGATTCTCTTCGTCGACTTTCTCTTTCTTTAATAGCTTGAGCACATTGTTGTGTTTGTCATATTAGAAGCTAGATAAAAGCTTCTTTTATCGATCTGTATGCCGAAAATACCTGAGAATATAAGGCCATGTACTTGGGAATGCAAAGAGAAAGTCGACGAAGAGAATCGGTCAATGTTACTTAGGACCTAATGCAATGTTCAGCTTGAAATACAATATTCAAAAAAAATTCTCGACTTTCCTGTATGTATGTAGAGTATGATTGTTATTACCACACAAAAATAATAATGCAAAAATGTTACTGGCTTAGAAAACTCAATTAATACCTGTGGAAGAGCTCAAAGAATACTAAGTTGAGGGCCGGCGCAAAGTCCCAGTAGGGATGTAATAAAGCCAAAGAAGAAGATATACCACCTTGATACAATGTAGATGGGGTTACTATTGGTACTGGGCAGGGAGTACTACGCGTATATAGATTTTTTTCGAAGATAGAATTCTAAGGCAAAGTCCTTTCATACTTTTTAAACTTATCATCGTTTATTATCATTTATAACTTATTCTTCTTTAAAAGTTATCGAACCACCTTTAAAGTTATGAATCTCTTCTTGCCACATGTCTTCGTCGGCATACAAATCGTTCTCGGACTCAAAATGCGTTGGGAAAGCTGGCGACTCTTTGTACTTCCTCAAGGGCAGAATTGTATCGTAGATGTACACCAGTCCATTTGTGTCTCCAGCAATGTTACTGCCCTGCACCCACATCACGTTGTACTTGGTATTGATTCGCCATATTTTCAAGCCTCTCAGGTTGCGCCATCGGTTACCCATATGGCCAGGCATCCTGGTTCCTGGCCACACGCGTGCTTTACCACCACCAGCACCAATGTTACCGGGTCTACGATGCGTTTTTGTCACGCCATGGGACGCGGGCATTCCCTTAAAACCATGCCGTTTAATAACCCCTTGGAAGCCATGATCCACTCTGGAAAAAAAATACGCTATAAAATATGGCCAAAAACAAATTGACGAAAACGTTACGTTTTTCCTCGAACATCGACAACATCTCCTACTTTGAAGTGGGTAACATTCAAAGGTGTTCCTGGCAACAACCGAGCTTCTGGTGATATGATGAATCGACACAAATGCTGTTTTGGCAGTACACCTGAGTCCTTGAATAGACCACAGTATTCTTTGGTAAATACTGAAGGATCTTTGCTTTGTGCTCCGACTAGCAAACATCCGTAGGGATTTTTCCAGTTACGCTTCTGTTTTGGCTCATGAGGAGGTTTAAATTCCTCCGGCGGTACATACTTGACGACGTGGTTATCAATCACCTGGAATTGAAAGTATTATACAATGATGATGTAACCATAATCAGCATCATGGAAACGCACAACATACCATATACCGTCCTAAAAACGCACTATTGCAAATAGGATACTTGCTACATTCATATTGTTTAGTGGTTTATAGTACGTTCAGACTACAGAGTTATAACATGTTATAGCGCTATCTTGATGGTGGTTTCTGTGTTGCAATTATTTGATAACCGTTATAACATGTTATAACTCTCCAGTCTGGACAGCGTTTTATAGTACGTTCAGACAGAGAAACGCAGAGATCTCGCAGAGAAACCAAAAGTTAAAATAATCCACCAAATGGTTCAGAGCCTAAATGGATGACGGAGTTTGACGTCACACTCCTTCAACCGTTTAAACAGCGGGAGAACGAAAGAGATGATAAATACACTGAGCCTTATATATATATTGAGATCTCATAGATGGATGTTCAGTAGGCTGATTTGACAGCACATCCCGCCCCTGTGGCTTCACTCTTGGTGGAAATCTTATTAAAACATTGACTCTGTGCACGAACAGAAAATGAACATGACTTTTAATTTTTCAATTCAAGAGCAAATTTTCATTACGTCGAAAGTAACAAAGTTAAACAAAGTCGAGCTATCAGTGTCAATCGATGCTCCTGCGATTACACTATATACTGTCCGAATAAGGATCACATGCCATATTTAAATTTATTTACCAGCAAATTCCTTTTTGACGTAATCACCTTCCGATCAAAATATTGTTTGATGTTACTTAAGTCACCCGATTTCTATGGAGATGTCGTTTGTCTTAAGTAGCACTGCAGAGAAACCCGTGAAAAGTGTACGTTCTTCGTTTCGCTTTCTCATTATTAAAGTGAATAAATCGAACTGTTTGTTGTTAAGAGGATTTCGGTAATCCTAAAATGATGAATGGGCTGCACGTAAGGAGACGTGATTGATCATTCTCCGGATATCCTGGTAAATACACTGTGACTTATGTTCTTCTTCTTCTTCTTCGCTTTTCAAGCTTATTGCATATCGCATATTAGCTTATGGCGTGCTCTCAACTTAGTGTTCTTGATGCACTTCCACAGTTATTAATTAAGAGCTTTCGATGCCTGTACCATTTTTGCATTGATATGATTGTGTGGCAAGTCTAATCATACTTCTATGCGCAGGGAAGTCGAGAAATTTTCCAACCCGAAAAATTCCTAGACCGGACCGGGAATCGAACCCAGCCACCTCCAGCATGGTCTTGCTTTGTAGTTGCGCCTTTACCGACTGAGCTAAGGGAGGCCCACTGTGACTTATGTCGTTTTCGTTTTTGCGGTGTAGCTACACCGGTGCTACACTGCCGTACACTGAAATATTTTAGGGTGTAGATATAGGATGCACTTTTGTTTACCAACAAATGATGTTGAGCTGTCAAAGACTCGCGCTTATTCCTGCTTACACTACACCGGTGCTACACCGCAAAAACGAAAACGACATTAAGTAACATTAGGGGGCCACCAAACGACGTATAATAAATTTTGACTCAAAACCCTGTATTTTTTAGCATGAAAGCTAGCGCTCTGCTTTGTATGATTAAAACCCTGCTTAAAATGTTAAACATTGCTATCACTATGAGATTATATGTGTTTAATTGGAAATAGGAATGCCTTTTCGGTCATCAAAACAAAATTTTATTTTTCTCAGATCGGTGCAAATAGGTGCAAATGTTATTTTCGACATAATGAAAATTTGCTCTTGAATTTTGGTACACACGGATGACGATCGACCCTGCGCTTCGGTACGCTCTCTGATAGGACGTCGTTGTGCCAATTTGGTCGTGGCACATTTCGGGTATGAGAAAGTAATTGCAGTTGGATCAAAAGTGCCTGAGAAAAATACAAGTACTTTCCAGATTACTCGAAATTGCGATAGTGAAGGTATGATCACAGACAAGCAGACATAACACTCTTAAAACGTTCATCGAAATCGCTTTTAACTGTCAATTTAAATTAGTTGGTAGTAACGCCCGAGGTAACGCCACTTGTTGTGCACCATAATCAATTCCCTAGCGTTTGACGTTTACACACTACAGCCATCTGTTGAGTGTATTACCCATCATAGTGTATACGACAGATAGCGTTCAATGTGTTGTGTATGAATGTCTGTGTTGTCAAAACATTAAGAAATATAACGCATCACTTTCAGAAATACTTCACTTTGCAACCGATGAACCATTCTGACGGCCATACGAGTACCCAAGTAACCATATAGTCGCAATATAGCTTGTATATTCTTACTTTGCTTGAGTATGGTTAGTTGGGGAATCTGATGAAACAGTCACTTCTTGAAACTGATCCCTTTCGTATTTCTTTCTTTTATTCTCTTTTCACACACGTGCACTCGGTGGACCAGCGACTTTAGACGTGAGCCTCGTCCCAGATCACCATGGCAAGAAAGTGGACATGAAACAGACCACACCAACCAACGAGGAAGGAGTCAACATCGAACCAGGAACGGAAATTAGTGCGGATTTATCTCGCTACGAAAACAAGAAAAACCCGGAAAAGGCGGAATCATGTCAAAACAGCCCACGGACGATCTACGGAAGGAAATTGCCGGTGAAGCACGAAATGGAATACGAAGCGTTAGAGAAAACTCCAAGGGATTCCAAAAGAAGCAATTAACGGCGGCGGAAGAGCAGAATATGGTGAGAGCTGTCTTAATTAAATATCAAAATTAAACTAAATACATGCCAGGTTTGAAAATAATATTTTCGAACCTGGAAGTGTGTATATACAGGGTGTTTGGTTCCGAGTTTTACATATTTTCAGGGTAGATAGGGCTCCTAAAGTTATTAAAAAATCCCCATGAAACATAGGGTCGGAAATGACTGCTAAGTGAGTTATTCAACATTTTATTTTTTTTTGTATTGCCAACTTTGGTAAGCTATATTTTTTTAATCTTAATGTGGTTTAAATAGGTGCAAATGTTATTTTCGACATAATGAAAATTTGCTCTTGAATTTTGGTACACACGGATGACGATCGACCCTGCGCTTCGGTACGCTCTCTGATAGGACGTCGTTGTGCCAATTTGGTCGTGGCACATTTCGGGTATGAGAAAGTAATTGCAGTTGGATCAAAAGTGCCTGAGAAAAATGCAAGTACTTTCCAGATTACTCGAAATTGCGATAGTGAAGGTATGATCACAGACAAGCAGACATAACACTCTTAAAACGTTCATCGAAATCGCTTTTAACTGTCAATTTAAATTAGTTGGTAGTAACGCCCGAGGTAACGCCACTTGTTGTGCACCATAATCAATTCCCTAGCGTTTGACGTTTACACACTACAGCCATCTGTTGAGTGTATTACCCATCATAGTGTATACGACAGATAGCGTTCAATGTGTTGTGTATGAATGTCTGTGTTGTCAAAACATTAAGAAATATAACGCATCACTTTCAGAAATACTTCACTTTGCAACCGATGAACCATTCTGACGGCCATACGAGTACCCAAGTAACCATATAGTCGCAATATAGCTTGTATATTCTTACTTTGCTTGAGTATGGTTAGTTGGGGAATCTGATGAAACAGTCACTTCTTGAAACTGATCCCTTTCGTATTTCTTTCTTTTATTCTCTTTTCACACACGTGCACTCGGTGGACCAGCGACTTTAGACGTGAGCCTCGTCCCAGATCACCATGGCAAGAAAGTGGACATGAAACAGACCACACCAACCAACGAGGAAGGAGTCAACATCGAACCAGGAACGGAAATTAGTGCGGATTTATCTCGCTACGAAAACAAGAAAAACCCGGAAAAGGCGGAATCATGTCAAAACAGCCCACGGACGATCTACGGAAGGAAATTGCCGGTGAAGCACGAAATGGAATACGAAGCGTTAGAGAAAACTCCAAGGGATTCCAAAAGAAGCAATTAACGGCGGCGGAAGAGCAGAATATGGTGAGAGCTGTCTTAATTAAATATCAAAATTAAACTAAATACATGCCAGGTTTGAAAATAATATTTTCGAACCTGGAAGTGTGTATATACAGGGTGTTTGGTTCCGAGTTTTACATATTTTCAGGGTAGATAGGGCTCCTAAAGTTATTAAAAAATCCCCATGAAACATAGGGTCGGAAATGACTGCTAAGTGAGTTATTCAACATTTTATTTTTTTTTGTATTGCCAACTTTGGTAAGCTATATTTTTTTAATCTTAATGTGGTTTTCTGATTTCAACATACCAAATGAAAGATTAAAGTCTTAGCTATCAATGCTTTCTAGAAAAAAACTCGATTAAAGTTAATTATCATATATTAAAATTGAAAAGTATGGTGAAAGTACCGAAAAAACTGGTGAAATTTCATACATTTTAGTGTTTTTAAGTTCAAAATTTTCATTTCTGTTTATTTAGTTGTTCTACAAAACATTATCCATGCAGTTCCCTAGATTTGTGTCTTTGGTAGTAACCTTGTAGGCTTTATGGTTTCTTCGTAATTATTGATTTAAAACAGCCATAAAAAACTTGAGACGTTTTCTTAAAATACGTTAGGGTGACTACTATTCGTTCGTACGTTCGGCTGTTGCAGTGGACTACGCACATGAAAATTTGGTAGAATGTTATTGTAGATGTTTAGCTACATTCTTAACTTTTGATTACCGCACATCTCCTGCGCCGAAAGAAAACTTAACTGCGGAGATGTTTCGCGGTATCGAATGTGTCAGTCCCAGCAGAAAACAAAACGAGAGACACCGAATCGGCGAATTCTGCGAGCGGAAGGGAGAGAAGTAGGTAGTGGTAATAAGTCGATGTCCTTTTTATTTCATAGCACTCGCAGTTCACACACACACATACACACACACACACACACACACACACACACACACACACGCTCACACCCACACACAGACACACACACACACACACACACAGACACACACAAACACACACACACTCTCACACTCTCACTCACACACACACACACACACACACACACACACACACACA